TTTGTTTACTATTTGAATCTTGCTGGTTTTTTGTTTTTGTTGTTGTTATTGTGGGGTTTTTGTTGTTGTTGTTTTGTCTTTTAGAGACAGAGTCTCCCTGTAGTCCCAGCTGGTCTGGAACTCACTATGTAGACCAGGCTGGCCTTGAACTCACAGGGATCCACCTGCCTCTGCCTCCCTAGTGCTGGGATTAAAGGTGTGTGCCACCACCCCCGGCTGAAGATTTATTTTCTAATATTTAATTGTCAGACAATGCCTGATTAAAACCTGGTAGTTTCTGTGCCAGAGGTCATGTATCTGTGACGGCCACTTCAAAGGTGAGTCAGGAAGGAGAGCAGAAGGTGCCCTGCTGAGAAGAGGAGTCTTTCCATTTGCGCCGAGCCGGCTTGCGGCTATCCGGACATGGAGAGACTGCGACCCTAAACAGCAGGGTTCCCCAACATTTAATTTACTTAAATTTTTTAAATTAATTAATCTATTTATTTTACACCCACTTCCCAGATGGCACCCTCCCATAGCCTCCCTCCCCCCACCAGAGCCCTTATACTCTGATATCCCTGCTACTGTCTGCTGTGTTGTCGGCACCCCCAGCCATTCCCCACTACTTGCCCTTCTGGTGAATCTAGTCAGCCTATCTAGAGGTCTTTGTTTTAGGAGGGTCAGCTGTTCCTCATCTAGCAGTAATCAGTTGTCAATATTCCTTTGGATAAGATTGGGGTCTGCTGTTCATTTTCCCAGTTCAATGCTGGGTTACTATCTGGGAATCCCTTTGGCCACACTGGCCAACAACTCAAAAGAAGGTATTGCCTGTCTGGCATTGTTGCTTGTTATGTAGCCTTTAGCTATACATATGGGACTCTTATGAAATTATATTGGCCCTTTTAATCTTTGGTTATACTTTCCTCTTGGGTGTTTAAGCCCATACAGTTGGTCCAGATAAACCAATTTATTTTTTATGCAGTACAAATGAGTATGTTTTTGAAAATATGCTAGTTAATAAATTACTTGCCTAGCCTTATTTGTAAATGTAACTGTGGCAGTGCTTCTGGAGTGGTGGGATGGGATAGAATGCCATGTGATAGATTAAGATAGTTTGTCTCCTAGAGGACATTTGACAGAGTAGGGATACTTTTAACAACTTGGGGGAATTTTCATGCTCTTCTCCAAAGTAAAAATTACATAAATAATTGTTAATTCAGAACTTAATGAAGATTGTTTCCAATATTTTAAATTGTATATATGGGTGTGGGTATGTGCTTATGTGCTGATTTGGCTAGACTGGCTGACCAGTGAGCCCCAGAGATATGCCCTGTCTGCTCCCCTAGTACTGGAATTACAAGCCTGCTACCATGCCTAGCTTCTTATGTGGGTGCTAGGGTTTAAACTCAAGTACTCATGCTTGTACAGCAAGCACTTTACTGACTGAGCAATCATCCTAGCCACAGTTTCTAATTTTTAAAAAATATTTTATTTATTATTTTAATTTTATGCATATGAGTATATTGCCTGCTTGTATGTAAGTGCTACCCATGTTGTACAGTGCCCATGGAGGTCAGAAGATCTCCATAGATCTCTTGGAACTGGAGTTACAGATAGTTGTTAGCCACCATGAGGGTGCTGGGAACTGAAACTGGGTTCTCTGCAAGAGCAGCCAGTGCTTTTAGCCATCTCTCCAGCCTCCCAATTTCTAATTTTTAACTTCTTTTTAAAAAATATATTTTTTTGTTTTGGTTTTATTTTGCATTTTTTTTGTTTGTTTTTGTTTTTGTCTTTTTTGAGATAATGTCTCCCTGTAGCCCCAGCTGGTCTGGAACTCACAGAGATCCACCTGCCTCTGCCTCCTGAGTGCTAGGATTAAAGGTGTGCACTACCACACCCAGCTAAAAAAAAATTATTATTTTTATTTTATGTATGTTAGTGTATTGCCTGCATGTATGTAAGTGCACCCATGTCATGCAATGCCCAAGGAGTCAGAACAGGGCATCAGATCCCCAGCTACCAAACATTTTCTTAAAGAGGCAGGTAGTAAATAATTGAGGCTTGTGGATGTTTAGATTCCTGGAAGTTACTCAATACTGTCATTGCAACACATAATAGTAAACCTTAGTTCCAAAGACTAGCAATTTCAAGGGTCTCACTCATTTTCAAACCATTTGAAGCATAGGTAAACTGATTTACAGAAAGCTGCAACCAAATTCATACCCAAAATCTTATAAGGTCAATGATATGATCTCAATGGAAGAGCCTGAAATTTTCCTGTTATTATTATTATTATTATTATTATTATTCAGTATTCTTTGGATGCTGACTTCTGTCTATCATGAAGAATATTTTTAATATTCCTTTTGGTACAATTCTGTTATTGTTGAAGTCTGCGTTGCCACAGAAAAGTCTTCTTGATGCCTGAGTTTTTGAAGAATATTTTGATGGGTTATATAATTTTAGGTTGGCAGTTTTGCTCTTAGTACTATTGCTTCTTTCAATTTTTACTCCCTTATATCTGAAGAGAAATCGTTACTTTGTTCTGTTTATAATGTTTTTCCTGGTCTTGTTGCTTTTAAGATTCCCTCCCTCCCTCCCTCCCCCACTGCTGGAGATCAAACTCAGACCCTACTCTTGCTAGGCAAGTGCTCTATCACTGAACTACCTCCCCAGCCCTGAAGTTTTCTCATTCTCAGCAATTTGATTAAATCTTGCTTTAGTGTTGGGTAGGTCTGGAGAATTAGTTTTCACCAAATTTATAAAATTGTCAGTCACATACCTATACATACCTATACATACCTATAATCCCACACTTGGCAGGCTGAGGCAGGAGGATTGCTGTGAGTTTGAGCTCAGCTTGGGTTACATAGCAAAACCTTATCTCATGAAATAAAAAGAACTGAATATGATGGTACATGCCTGTAATACCAATACTTGGAAGGCTGAGATAAGAGGATTACTGTGAATTCCAGGCCATCCTGGGCTACATACTAAGATCCTATCTCCAAAGGGGAAAAAGAAGAAAATTTTCAGTTGTAATTATTTCAGATAGTTTCTTCCCACCTTTTTTGGGTCCATCCAAAATTGTATTTATGTTTGTTACTATCTTATAGGTCACTGGAGTTCTGGTGAATTTTTCAGCCTGTTTTCTCTTTGTTTCCATTTGGATAGTTTATTCTGCCTGGTGTTCCAAGTTTATTTGTCTCTCCTCTCTGGTCTCTTAATCTACTTCTTAGTTCTCCAGTGGATTTTTAAAATTTCAGATATATTTTTCATCTTTAGTAGTTGCTTCAGTTATTTTTATAGTGTCCATTTCTTACCTCAGTGTGTTTCTTTAATTCTTGATATTTATAACTCATATTTACAAGCCATGTCTAATTCCATCACTGTTATTTATTTCTAGGTCTTTTTCTGTTGATTATCATCCTGGCTTTGTGTTATATCTTCCTACTTCTTTCATATTTTCTTATTTATTTTGTCTGTACACATACATGCACATGTCTATGCAAGTCAGGTAACAACTTAGGGTAGTTGGTTTTCTTCTTCCTCCCTGTAGGTTCTGGGGCTCAAACTCTGTTTGTGAGCCTTGATGATAAGCTCCTTTACCTGCTGAGCCATCTTACCATCCTTTTTTCATGTTTTTTCCCAATGCTAGACATTGTGAATGTTACGTGGTATCTCCTAGGCTTGTGTAAGCTCTGGGAATGTTCCTGCTTTCACTTCCTAGCCCAGCTTCAGTGAGTGTCATTCTGTATAACAAAGCTTAATGTTCTGCCAAAACTAGGCATACAACTGTGCAGAATTCTGGAGCTCTTGCTTTGCATAACTCATTTTCGACACTTTTTCCTAACTTTTAGCTACTTCAGCATCTCTGTGGTAACCTTTGTTCTTAACTCAGTGAAATCTTTGTACTGAGGTTCCTTACTCCTTGCCATATTTGAGATTGTAAGCATAGGCAGAAAGCCAGGGCAATAGACATGCTTACCTAATAGTAGTTTCTTGATCTCGTGGATCACAGTCCTGTACTGCCTGCTCTCTAATTTCTAGAAAGTACTTGATTTATATATTTTGTACAGTTTCTAGTGGCAAGAAGACAAGATGCTAGTTGTTCCACTATGGACAGAAGGGGACATTCCCAGATTATATTTTAATAAGATCACTTTGATTACCATGTTTGAGAATAAATATCTAGGAACTTCCTAAATTTTATTTTAAGTCCTCATGAGGAGAAAACAAATACATAATGTAACCATGCTTTTAGGATTTTGCCTGGTGTGTTGTTGTTGACAGTACAAGTCAGACGTAACCATATTGTTATGATGTTTACAGTCTGACGAAGAAAGAAGATATACATAATTTAAATCTAGGCTGGAGATTGAAAACTAACAAACATGAAAACAGATAAAAGTAGTATCAGAGGTTAAAAGAAATGGCTCTTGCAGGGCGTGGTGGCAAACGCCTTTAATCCCAGCACTCGGGAGGCAGAGGCAGGTGGATCTCTGTGAGTTCAAGGCCAGCCTGGTCCACACAGTGAGTTCCAGGACAGCTGGGGCTACAAGGAGACCCTGTCTCAAAAAACAACAAAAATAAATAAATAAAATAAAATAAATTACTCAATAGTATATTATTTTATACTTTGTATTTAAGCAGCCTACTTAGTGGGAAATTGCAGGGGGGGAGGTTCCTGAATTTTATTTTTTGAGTTTGTTGTTGTTGTTTTGAGACAGGGTCTCCTTGTAGCCCTAGAACTCACTATGTAGACCAGGCAGGCCTTGAACTCATAGTTATGCCTGCGTCTGCCTCCTGAGTGCTGGGACTAAAGGCATGCATCTCTTGCTTTTTCTTATTTTGATTTAATTCTCCTACAAATTTAAATTTGTTAAATTTATTTTTCAGTGTTGTGTTTTGATGATAATTATTTTTAGTAATTGAATTGAGAAAATATGTCCTTGAAAGACAAGCTAACTGCCCTTAAGAGCATTCTGGAGTTTTATAATCTTGTTTGATTTGATTCTTAGTGGAGGAATCAGACATCATTGATCTTGAGAAACGTTATTGGCTACTGAAGGCTCAATCTCGGACTGGACGGTTTGATTTAGAAACCTTTGGCCCATTGGTTTCACCACCTATTCGCCCTTCTCTAAGTGAAGGTAGGAAATACTCCATTTTCTACAGATATTCATAGGTAAATAAGTATACCCCAGTCCATCTTGTAACCATATTCTAACAAGCCATATTGCCATATTCTTGTAGGCTCCCAGTTCCTTGTTAATAGTAAAGAGTAAATAAAGTGAGAAAGTTCCATTTAGTCGTATGGTTCATATTCTACCACTGGTATCTTTCGTAAATCAGATTATCTCTTTGTACCTGAATATTCTTACATATAAAATTAGTTTGACTTCCTGGGCATGGTGGCCCATGCCTTTAATCGGAGGCAAAGGCAGGCAAATCTCTGTGAGATTGAGGCTAGCCTGGTCTACTTAGCAAGTGCCAGGCTAGCTGGGGTGACCGGAAGACCCAGTCTCAAAAAGACCGAAAAAAAAAAAAAAATCAGTTTGACCAAGTCAGTAGTTATAAAATTGTGCTCCAGTAAGGCTTGTTAACAGTAATACATGAAGTAGGGTGGTAGCTCTGCATGGCAGAGCTCCAGGTTTCCTTAGCCAGAGTGCCTCCCCTTTTCGTTCCGTTCACATAAGATTTCACTGCTGCCCCCCTTGAAAAAAGAAATAGAAGTCTAGTCTAGTCTAGCTCCATATGATTTTTCCCCCCTTTTAAAGATAAAAATATAGGCTGGGCGTGGTGGTGCACGCCTTTAATCCCAGAACTCGGGAGGCAGAGACAGGCCAGATCTCTGCAAGTTCAAGGCCAGCCTGGTCTACGTAGTGAGTTCCAGGACAGCTGGGGCTACAGGGAGACCCTGTCTCAAAAAGACAAAAAAAAAAAAAAGACAAAAAATAATTTTTTTAAAAAAAGATAAATATAAGGAAGCATATTATAGATGGCATTATATAAACATATTGTATTTGGAATATGAATAATTGGGTTCTGCTTCTGGTTGTGAATTTTTTTTTTAGTTTTTTACTTTTTGCAGAGCCGGAGAGTATAGATGGCATGGGCCTTGCACATGTAAGGCAAGTATTCTATCACTGAACTATACCCCTAGCCTGCTTCTGAAGGTTTTAAACTTTTCTTGTGAGATTACTTAACTCCCTCTGGACTTTTAGTTTTCCAATATTATTTTGTTTTTGTTTTGAGGCAGGGTCTCATGTACCCTAAGCTCACCTCAAACTCAGTATCTATCAAAGAATGGTCTTTAAGTCCTTGATTCCCCTTGCTCCAGCTCCCAAGTGATTATAGACATGTACCGTTAACCTGGCTTAGTTTTCTATGTTCAAACTGAAACACTGAGTTAGATTCTTAGAATACACAATCTTTTTTTTTTTTTTTTTTTCAGATACCTAGGATATTTCAAAAGTAGTCAATAGTATAGCTCTGGGTTTTTTTTTTGTTAACATTTATTTGTGTGTGTGTCCTCATGGATACCACAGCACGTTTGGAGGTCAGAGGACGACTTTCTAAAGTCTGTTCTCTCTTCCTACCTGTTTCAGGGACCAAATTCCTGTCATCAGACTTAGCAGCAAGCCCTTTAACTTGCTGAACCATCTCACCAGCCACACGTTCTGGATTTCTGCTTATTCAACAGTGTAGCTGTATTTTACCTTTTAAAATTGGGTGGCCAGATGTGATGGTAGGCAAAGCTCTGTGAGATCAAGACCAGCCTGGTCAGGCCAGCTGGGGCTACAGGGAGATCATCTCAAAAAGAACCCCCCAAAAATTGGATGATTGAAGGAGGAGGGGGATGTGTTGAGGTTGCCTGGGAAAAGTTGGGGATGGATACGAACAAATAACATTATTTACGTGTATTAAATTGTCAAAGAATAAAGATACTATATTGGGGGGAAAAAAGAATATCTAGTTCATTTGAAAACAAAATTGCTCTTTTACAAAAAAATTTGAAAGCACAAAATTCAATTTTAAATCCATGTTCATTTCTGAAATTTAAAATAGGCATATGTGAAAGATAAAATTGTACAAAGAAGTACTGTAGTAGAGAATTTCTTGTAGTATAATGTACTTCCTTTTCTCCATGAAAAAGCTTTATGGAAGCAATAATACACATTTGAATATTCACTTAAAAAGCAGTTCAATGTTTCTTTTTCCTCTTTCTCTTCTCAGTCTTTCTAAGGATAATCCTTATAATTTCTGAGTTTTCTTGATTCTTAATTTTCATTTGTTGCCATTAAAAAATATAGGTATCCTTAGGCTATTAAATAATTTATGTAAGAGAGGCACACACAGATATAACCAAATACTAAAGGAATATAATGTATTTTCTGTCTTCCTGGATAAAAGTTTTAGTTCTAATTATACTAAGGTGGAAAAGAGAAATATTTCCTGAGAAAATTGGAAGCTACTGATACTTTTTTTTTTAATTTAGCCAATTTGTGGGAAAGAGACATTGCGTCCTAATTTCATAAACATGTCAGTATTAACATTAGAAGGTTTTTTGGCTGTGATTTATGGTGTCTTTTTTCTATTTTGTAGGTTTATTTAATGCTTTTGATGAAAATCGTGACAATCACATAGACTTCAAGGAGATATCCTGTGGGTTATCAGCCTGTTGCAGAGGCCCTCTGGCTGAAAGACAGAAATGTAAGTGTGACAAACAGTACCTGCAACAGGGCTAATTGTGCAGAGAGAAATTCAGCTTTCATCCATGTAGGTCATTGGTGGATTAAGACTTGAGGGGTTTTTTGGGGGTTGGTTTTGTTTTGTTTTTGTTTTTATGTATATGCGTGTGTTGCCTGCATGTAGGTCAGTGCACCCATGTTGTGCAATGCCCGCGGAGGTCAGAAGAGGCTGTCACATCCCCTGGGACTGGAGTTATGGACAGTTATTAGCTGCCATGTGGGTGCTGGGATTCGAACCTGGGTCTTCTGCAAGAACAGCCAGTGTTCTTAACCACTGAGCCATCTCTCCAACCCCAAGGCTTGAGTTTTTTAAACTCTCAGATTGGCAAATAGTTATCTTGTACTTGACATTTTACCGAGTTGACTCTAAGAAAGCAAATAACCAATTCTTTTGTACTAGGAAATAGTTTAGGGTCTTTTCTGTTAATAATGAGTTTGGTTTTCCTGGAAAATCTGTAATTCATGAAAAATAGGGTAAAACCCTTTTTTAAAATTGGTCTTACTGTGTTGCCTAGGCTGGCTTTGAATTCTTTATCCTCATGTATCAGCCTCCAGGGTGCTGGAATTATATATGTGAGCCACCAGGCCCAGCTGAAAATTTTATATATTTAGCAAATATTTTCTGTTAGTCTATAGAGTCCTTTGTATCTTGTATAATTTGAAGTATAAATCATTTTCTGTCATTTAGACACAATATTTTGTTGGCAAGATGAAAGTTATAATCAGACATAATTATATTAAATGCTAAAAGGGTATTTAATCTAAAATGCTTTTTTTTTTTTTTTAAAGAAAGGGTCTCTCTGTAGTCCTAGCTGGCCTAGAACTCACTATGTAGATCAGGCTGACCTCAAACTCAACAGCGATCTACCTGCCTCTGCCTCCCAGAGTGCTGGGATTAAAGGCATGTGCCACCACACCCGGCTAAAATGCTCTTAAAGTGTGATTTACTTAAATAACATACTGAAGACTCTGGGATTGATCCAGAATACACCAAGAAAAAAGAGAAGAAAAGAAGTTGACTTTAAAGGCTTACCTTACCCCTTCAGAACCTATAAGGCAATATTTATTCCCCTTTCTAATGTATAAAGAAGTCAGCTTTAGATTTGACTGATAGGTAGGTCTCCTCAACTTGAGTAATAATTTAGAAATAGTCATGAAATCTGTTCACAAAGTTCTACATGTTCCAAAAAAAAAAGTAATGATGTAGTATTTATCTGCTTCTGATGAGAACTGCTCCATTATGTACTTGCTGGGAAAACTAAGTGTCTAAAGGGCTGGAGAGATGGTGCAGTGGTTAAGAACACTTACTGTTCTTTCAGAGGACCAGAGTTCAGTTCCCAGCATCCATGTGGTGGCTCACAGTTGTGTAATTCCAGCTCCAGCAGATCTGATGTCCTCTTCTAACCTCCATAGGCAGGCACTCATATTACACATAATTTTTTAAATTAAAAATAAAAAATTAGCAAACATGGGGTTAGAGAGATGGCTCAGCAGTTAAGAGCACTGACTGCTCTTACAGAGGACCTGGGATCGATTCCCAGCACCCACATGGCAGCTGACAACCATCTGTAACTCCAGTTCCAGGGGATCTGATGCCTTCTCTGACCTCTGCAGGCATTGCACGACATGGGTGCACCTACCTACATGCAAGCAATACACACATAAATAAATAAAAATTTTTAAAAGAAAACCCAGCCTGGTAGGGTTTCGCATGCTTTTAATCCCAGCACTCGAGAGGCAGAGGCAGGCAGATCTCTGTGAGTTTGAGACCAGACCAGTGTGGTCTACATAGCGAGTTCCAGGCCAGCTGGGGCTACAGGGAGACCCTGTCTCAAGAAGACCAAAAGAAAAAATAAAAACCAATTATACAGGGTAGTTTCTAATACAATATATTATGCTTCAGAGCCCAAAGTTATTTCTTTCTCTAAGAGTTTCTTTTCATTAGTTTGCTTCAAGGTGTTTGATGTTGACCGAGATGGAGTTCTCTCCAGGGATGAACTGAAAGACATGGTGGTTGCACTTTTAGAGGTCTGGAAGGATAACCGCACTGATAATATCCCTGTAAGTTTTGGTTTTTTGTTTGTTTGTTGTTCTTTGAGACAGGGTCTTATGTAGTCAAAGCTGACTACATAAGTCAAACTCCTGATCCTCCTGCCTTAGCCTCCCAAATGCTATGGATTATTGGCATGTGCTATGTACCATGCTCTGCTCAAGTCTTCTGATTGTTTACATCTTGTTGTGTATAAACTTCCAATAGGAAGATGGAATGAATGCAAGAATTCATTGATGTTTTTGATTGCTGTATTATGTTATTCAAAATATCACAGCATAATCGCCAGCATGGTAGCGCAGGTCTTTAATTCCAGCACTCAGAGGCATGCAGATCTCTATGAGATCAAGGCTAGTCTTGTCTACATAATGAGTTCTAGGCCAGCTGGGGCTACAAGGAGACCCTGTCTCAAAAAGACCAAAAAATATATATAGATATAAAATATATCATAACCAATGATACAAATTTGGAAAGAAAATTTACCTTAGAAAAAATTTTAGAACTATACTTACAGGGCTGGAGAGTTGGCTCAGCATTAAGAGCATTGACTGCTCTTACAGAGGGCCCAGGTTCAATTCCCAGAAGCCACATGGTGGGTTGTGGGGTCTCTCCCTCCGCTCGTGGATCGTTGACCACTGATCCACAAGAACAAAGGGAGCAGAAGCGATGAACCGGGTCAGGATGGCCAGTGAGCATGACGGAAGAAAGCCTTTCCGGGGAGGCAGATTCAGTGATACAGCGATACAGCTCCGTTTATTCAGTAGGGGTCAGGGAAAATATAGTGTGGAGGCAGCAGCCAAAACTTCAGCTGATAGGTGCTCATAGTATGCTTTATTTACATGTAGCAGGGGGATCCTATCATCTGACTATAGGGCAATGCCTAATTATCATATAGAAAAAACCTGGGGGCAGTTTTATTGCAGGTAACTATGCCAAAGGTCATGTTCTGAATAAGGTCAGGCATCTGTGCTTGGAGGCACTTTCCAGGTAAGTCAGGCAGGAAGCCCCTGCTGAGAAAGGAGCTGACCTTAACTGTTGGGTTCCCCAACAGTGGATAACAACTGTCATAACTCCAGTTCCAGGGAATCTGATACCCTCTTTTGATCTCTTAGGGCATTGCGCAACACAGGTTCACTTACATCCATGCAGGCAATGCACTCATACACATAAAATAAAAGTAGTAAATTTTTTAAAAAACTATACTTGCTATATAAAATCAGAATGGAACAAGAAATTATCTTAATTTTTTAGATATATGAGAGTCTGTTTATGATCAGACAGTATACTTTAGCTCAGTAGTAGAGTGGTAGAGTGCTTGCCTAGCATGGTCAAAGCCTTGGGTTCAGTCCTTAATAAAAAAAAAAAAGGAATGAATAAAGTAAAGGTAACATAGACACTTTTTTTTCTGAGTACTCACTGGATTTCTTTTTAAGGAATTACATATGGATCTCTCTGACATTGTAGAAGGCATATTGAATGCACATGATACCACAAAGGTGAGTTTGGCTATGACTAATTTTCTAAAAATGCTATGTACCTAAATCAAGATGTGCTGCTTATATACATGGTCAAATAACTCTTCTGCATTATCTCCACTTTTCTGAGCCTGTGATTAAAATACCTTCACATTATCTCTAAAGATAGCTCATTCTATCTTGTGTGTGTGTGTCTGTGTCTGTGTGTGTTGCCTGCATGTGTAAGTGTACCTGTGTCATGCAATGCCTGTGGAGGTCAGAAGAGGTCATCAGATCCCCTGGAACTGGAGTTATGGACAATTACTAGCTGCCACATGGGTGCTGGGAATCAATCCCAGGTCCTCTGCAAGAATAGCCAGTGCTCTTTACCACCGAGCCATCTCTCTAACCACTCATTCCATTTTTAAACAACTCTATATTTTTAAACAACTCAAACAAGTCTAATATACGAATTAAATAGACACCTCTATTGACAGCTATAGTTTATCATCTTTACTTCTTCCATTTAATAAGTTACAGTAAGGATAGCTTTATACTGAATAAAAGAAACCAAATATAGCAATGTCATTTATGTTAAGAACAGGCCCTGAATAGTGGTGTACATCTTTAATCCCAGTACTAGGAGGCTGAGGCAGGCAGATCTCCGTGAGGGTAAGACCTGCCTATATATAGTGAGACCCTGTCTCAACATAAAAAAAGCTAAGAGTGATAGAAGTTGTAGTCATGAAATTCAGGAGTAGTCAGATGTACTGGGAAGGACCGTAAAGATACCTGAGGCAATACAAGTGTATATTACAAATAATAACTCCTTGAATTTAGTTTGGTAACAATTACTGGTAGCAATCTCAAAGCAGGTTTACTCCTGTAGTTTGCCTTACTGTTATGTCTGTGTGTCTCTATAAAATTGAAAATAATTTCTGTATATGAGGGAAATTTGAGCCTTTTTACTTAAATATTGATGTGTACTAAGCATCAGATTGGTTACAGGGTCACAGAAAATAGAAGTCAGTTTTTTTTTTTTTTTTGGTAGAAGTCAGTTTTTTTATTCAATCATAGTTACTAAAGGAATAACAAAACCCTATTAACTACTTTTCAATAGAAACAATGAATTAAGAGCTAGAGCTTAACTTAGCAATTTAATGTTCCCCTCTTTTTCCTTTCTCTGTCAAAATATCCACTTCTCTTTGGTATGTATAAGAACAGAAACCTGAGCAGGGTGTGGTGGCACACGCCTTTAATCCCAGCACTTGGGAGGCAGAGGCATGGGGATCTCTGTGAATTCAAGGCCAACCTGGTCTACATAGTGAGTTCCAGAACATCTGGGGCTACAGGGAGACCCTGTCTCAAAAAGACTGGAAAAAAAAAAAAAAAAAAGAACAGAAACCTGGAGAAGGTACTGTTTTGTAGTCTGGTTGGATGGTGCACACTATATTTGTTACTTTTTATTGCTATGATAAAACACCATGACCAAAAGTGACTTATGGAAAAAAGAGTTGACTTATGATTCCAGAAGGGAATCCATAATGGTGGGGAGGCATGGCAGCAGGAAGCTGGAGTGGGAAGCTCAGAGAGCACATTTTCAGCCACAAATATGAAGCAGAGAGCACGTGAGCTGGAAGGGGGGCAAGGCTATAACTGTCAAAACCCACCCCCAAGGGCTTACTTCCTCCAACTAGGCTACACCTCCTAAAGGTCCCATGGTCTCACCAAACAGGGCTACCACCTGAGGACCAAGTGTTAGATACTTGTGCCAATGGGGAATATTTCCCATTCAAACCACCATAGCAAGAGTTCCAGGCAATAGCAAGACCTTGATTTAAAAGAAGATAGAGGGGACTGGAGAGATGACTCAGCAATTAAGAGCACTGATTACTCTTGCAGAGGACCTGGATTCTATTTCCAGCACCCACATGGTGGCTAAGAACCATCTGTAACTCCAGTTCCAGGGGATCTGACGCCCTCTTCTCGCCTCTACCGGTATTGCGTGACATGGGTGCATTTACCTACATGCAGGCAATAAAAGTAGTAAATAAAATATTTTTTTAAAAAGAAAAGAAAATAGAGGCTATGAGATGGCTCAAAGGGTGGAGGTACTTGCTGCCAAGGCTTACAACTTGAGTTCAATCCACAAAACCCATGTGGTAAAAGGAGAAGACCAACTCCTACAAGGAGCCCTCTGACCTCCACCTCTTGGCTGTGGTACCCATGCCCCCTTCCCCCAGCTCAGCATAAGTCTTTTTGAGACAGGGTCTCCCTGTAGTTCCAGCTAGCCTGGAACTCGCTATGTAGACCAGGCTGGCCTTGAACTCACAGATATCCACCTGCCTCTGCCTCCCAAGCACTGGGATTAAAGGCGTGTGCCACCACACTCAGCTAGACATGGAATTTAAACACTTTTTTGCCTTAGTGTCATAAATATACAGGTGTTGCTGTTTATTTTTATATTAAACAGGATTTCTCTTTCTGGCTCTATTGACCATTAAGATTATTTAGCTGCTCAATCACCACATACCCATGATAGTAAAATGATAACGGTTTAAAGTAGAACTTGGATATTCTGGAGAATATCCAATAGACACCAATAGTATCTACCATTATTTAAAACACTTTATTTTTGTTATTTTTGGTTTTTGTTTTTGAGACAGGGTCTCACTATGGCCTGGAACTCGCTATGTAGACCAGACTGGACTTGAACTCACAGAGAACCACCTGCAGACTCACAGAGAACCACCTGCCTCTGCCCCAGGAGTGCTGGGATTAAAGGCGTGTGGTCCTTTTGTTTTTTGAAACAGCATTTCACTCTGTAGCCCAGGCTAACCTCAAACTCTCTCTGTAGCCAAGAATGGCCATGAACTTCTGATCTAGCTGCTTCTGCCTCCCCCGTGTGGAGATTACAGATGAGTGCCACTATTTCCCAAGTCTTATTGGAGAATGGAAATAGTCAATAAGTACTTTGGTTCCACTGACTGGATAGAATTACAGGATGAATGTATGTCTTACCACTTGTAAATTTGTATTAATTGGTCTACCTTTCATGTAAACAGATAGCATCTGTATTAGTCAGGGTTCTCTAAAGAAACAGAACCCGTAGAATGAATATATGTATATATATATGGATTTATCAGCTTAGGATAGAGTCCAAGTAGTCCAACAATGGCTGCACCACACTGGGGAGGCTGAGAATCCGGTAGTCGCTCAGTCCACAAAGCTGGATGTCTCAATAGTCCCAATCTGGTGCTGAAGGTCTGATGAATTCCAAAGGATCAGCTAGTCTTCAGTCTACAGCAGCAAGAGGAACTCACCAGCAAGAGAGAAGGCAAGCAGCATTTAAAAGCAAGTGCTCTCCTCTGCCATGGCCTTTTATACAGGCTGCCATCAGAAGGTAACACCCACATTTAGGGTGTGTCTCCCAGCTTTGGAAGATCCAATCAAGATCTTTCTCATTTCAGTTAATCCCAGATCCAGTCAAGTTGACACCCAGAATTAGCCATCACAGCATCATAGGAGATATATAGAAATATTATTGATTTGAGCCGGGTGTGGTGGCGCATGCCTTTAATCCCAGCACTCGAGGCAGGTGGATCTCTGTGAGTTCAAGGCCAGCTGGTCTACATAGTGAGTTCCAGGACAGCTGGGGCTACAGAGAGACCCTGTCTCAAAAAGACAAAAAAAAAAAAATAAAAAGAAATGGATAAATAAGGACATTGTTAATAGATACATTGAATATCTCTCTTGCAGATAGGCCATCTTACTCTGGAAGACTATCAGATCTGGAGTGTGAAAAATGTTCTTGCCAATGAATTTTTGAATCTCCTCTTCCAGGTATGTTTAAGTCAAATGACAGATACAGAAATGGTATAGTAGTTCCAGCAATTCTGCCTTTTCCATCATATAATATCTTGTTATCATATCTAGACTACAAAAGCATGCCTTATAGAAAGACCCATCTATACTATCTAGTATTTAATAGTAATTATTTTAGTTTAATGATTTTCCATTTAAATAAAGGGTAATTTGTATGCTCTACAGCAGTGTTTGAATAAATGGAAATTGGTCTCTTCTTGACAGCTAATGTGTAATTGTCATAGATCTAAAGCGTATACAATCTGATAAGCCTATAATATCCATCAATGTTAGTTATAATTTACAACCAAGATTCAAGTTGATGGCTTTATAAAATATAATAGAAAATAATATAGATTACTATTATAAATAGAACTGACTTGCTTGTTAACTTGAAAATTGGTCGAGTATCTTTTTTTTAATCTAAAGTAATATCCTCAGTCGTATGTTCTCTAGACCCTTTTATTCTTGTTAATTTTAAAGCTACTTTACCTCATACTCAGTATATGAACATTTAATCAGCTGAGTTTGTATCTTTAGTTATTGTGTAGAATTTTGACTTTGGTAGGGGCTGGAGAGATGGCTCAGTAGTTAAGAGTACTGGTTGCTCTTGCAGAGGACCCAGGTTTGATTCCCAGCTCCCACATGCTCCCACATGGTGGCTAACAACTGTCCGTAACTCCAGTTCCAGGGGAATCTGACACCTTTTCTGACTTCTGTGGGCATTACACAACATGGGTGCACTTACACACATGCAGACAGTACATTCATACACATAAAATGTATTAAATTTTTTTACTTTGGATATTGCCTTCTTTGGAATTTTCTTTATATATTTATATTTTTTGTTTTTATTATTTTAATTGTACTTCTGAGTGTATTGCCTGCATGTAAGTGTACCTGTGTCGTGCAGTGCCCTCAGAGGTCAGAAGAGAGCGTCAGATCTCCTGGAACTGGAATTATGGACGGCTGTTAGCCATATTGTGCTGGGAATCAAACCTGGGTCCTCTGCAAGAGCAGTTAGTGCTGTTGACCGCTGAACCATCTCTCCAGCACCTGTTTCTATTTTCTTAATTGTAACCATTCGGACTTAGAGTGAGACATAAAGACATATATATATTTCTTTTTCTTTTCTTTTTCTTTTTTTTTTTTTTTTTTTTTTTTTGTCTTTTTGAGACAGGGTCTCTTTGTCGCCCCAGCTGTCCTGGAACTCACTATGTAGACCAAGCTGGCCTCGAACTCACAAAGATCCACCTGCCTCTGCCTCCCAAGTGCTGGGATTAAAGGCATGCGCCACCACACCTGGCCGAGGATATATTTTATTTTTTTTATTTATTTTGGTCAGTTTTGAGACAGGGTCTCCCTGTAGGCCCAACTGGCCTGGAGTCACTGTGAAGACCAAGCTGGCCTTTAACTCACAGAGATCTGCCTACTTCTGTCTCCTGAGAGCTGGGAGGTGTGCCACTATACCCAGCTCTATTTTCTTTTATTTATTTATTTTTTGTCTTTTTGAGACAGCGTTTCCTTGTAGCCCCAGCTGTCCTGGAATTTACTATGTAGACCAGACTGGCCTCGAACTCACAAAGATCCGCCTGCCTCTGCCTCCCAAGTGCTGGGACTAAAGACATGCGCTACCATGCCTGACTATTTAAAAAAATAAAAAAATAAAAAAGATGGCAAAGAGTTCTTACAAAGTATTAACCTAGAGGGCACCACCATGCCCAGGCTGTTTATTTTATTTTATGTGTATGAGTATATTGCCTGCACGTATATAACTGCACCCATGTCATGCAATGCCTGCAGAGGTTAGAAGAGCGTGTCAGATTTCCCTGGAACTGTAGTTATGGATGGTTGTTAGCCACCATGTGGGTGCTGGGAATCAAACCCCAGTCCTCTGTAAGAGCAGCCAGTGTTCTTAACTACTGACCCAACTCTCCAGCTCTGAGGAAAAGTGTTTAAGTTGGACTTTGATAAAATAAAAACTTCTTTTTCTTCTTTATCCAGAGATGTCATTACAGGCCAGCCAAGGCTACATAGTGAGCACCCTGTCTCAAAAAACTAAGAGGAGAGAGAGAAGGGAGGGAGGGAGAGAGGGAGGGAGGAAAGCTATTCCCTACCCCATTCTCACATCTGGGGACATAATTGTGAGGTTCTGGAGGTCTGGCTTTCTACCCTGTAGCCTCAGCTGGCCTGGAACTCGATATGTAGACCAGGCTGGCCTCAAACTCACATCTACCTGCCTCTGCCTCCCAAGTGCTGGGATTAAAGGCGTGGGCCACCAAGAGACCCTATTAAAGCAGCTGGGGTCTTGGTGGAATATGCCTGAAACCCCCATCAGGAAGCTGAAGCAGGAGGATTTTGTATTAAAGACCAGCCTGAACAATGTAGCAAGATTCTGGGGGCAGGGGCACCATTAAGAGAACTAAAAGAAGCCAGGGATGGTGGCGCATGCTTTTTAATCCCATCACTTGGGAGGTAGAGGCAGGCGGATCTTTGTGAGTTTGAGGCCAGTCTATATAGTGAGTTCCAGGCCAGCTGGAGCTACAGGGAGACCCCGTCTCAAAAAGACAGGCAGAGAGAGAGGGAGGGAGGGAGGGAGGAAGAAAAGAGAACAAGATTGCTTCTTGGCATTTTGACTGAGATCAAGTGAAGAGAGTGAGAAGATAAGCCACCATGTGGAAGAAGATACTTGCAATATCTGTATTCTAACAAAGACTTGTAGGGCATAGGACATACAAAGAAGAAAAATGAACAAGACAAATGCATGGCCCCAATAGGAGAATAAACAAACAATATCCAAATACCTTGTAAATTTGTGAAAAGGGGTTAGGTTAATCTCTTTAATTATCATGGAAATATATACTAAAGCCACACTAGGTACCAACCAGAATGATTAACTTTTAAGTGGTATAAGGTATTGTTGATGATAACAAGCAAGGGGAGCTCTCACATGTTGCTGATAGGAATACAAATTGGTATAATGACTTTAGAGATTGGCAGTATTTCTGAAACTTTGATGTATGCATATCCTGTGACCCAGCATATGTGTTTTTACACACACACTTTGTTATAGCCTAAAACAGAAAATTACCTAAATACCTACTTGTTCAATAGTAGTTGAAAGAATTTTATTAAAATATTTAGCATTAAAGAAATATTCTGAGAAAGTAAATTTCTTTTCCCATTACCATCCTGCCTTCTCTCCTCTTCTTTCTTTTCTGTCCCGCTATTCTGTTCTTAGATTTGGAAGTTAGATTTTAGTATTTAATTTGAAAAAAAATTAAATCCCACACAAGTTAAAATTTGCACAGGTAAATTGTTGATAATTCACCAGCTAAATTCTTGCTAATTCAGATTTCCATCTAAAAAGTAGATTTCATGCAAACATCAAATATTATGCAATTTAGTTGTTGATATCAGCCTTTTTGTTTTCCCGTAGGTATGTCATATAGTTCTGGGATTAAGACCAGCTACTCCAGAAGAAGAAGGACAAATTATTAGGTAAATTTGTAGTTTTGATCTGTGTATTGTTTTTATTATATAGTTGAAATTTCTAGCACTTGAAATGTATTAGTTACTAAGGAACAGTGTGTCTCACTTTGATAATTTCAGTAAAGATATTTTATTTAAATTATTTTTATAAATGTTTTGCATGCATGTGTAAGTGCACCTGTGTAGTGCAGTGCTGGTAGAGGCTAAGTAGAGGGCATTGGAGCTCCTGGAACTGGAGTTACAGACAGTTATTAGCCAACATGTGGTTGCTGGAAACTGAACCTGGGCCCTCTGCAGGAGCTGCCAGTGTACTTAACCATTGAGCCAACTCTCCAGTGGCAGTAGAGCTATTTTTAAAAAATATTATGTGTAGAAATATTTTTGTTAAAGTACCTTCTTCCAAGGACCTAGATTTATAATTCAAATTATATTTAGCACCCAAATTACATTGGAACTGGAGTGGTAGAGTACTTACCTAGCGTGCAGGATTTCTTCTCATAAAATATCAGTTTGGCCAGGAGTGGTGGTGCATGCCTTTAATCCCAGCACTCGGAAGGCAGAGGCAGGCAAATCTCTGTGAGTTCAAGGCCAGCCTGGTCTCCATAGTGAATCCAGGATAGCTGGGGCTACATGGAGACCCTGTCTCAAAAAGACCAAAAAAGACTTAAGCCATGTATGGTGGTATATGTCTTTAATCCCAGCACTCAAGAGGCAGAGACAGGAAAGATATCTGTGATAGCCTGTATTTATATTTCTTGATGTATTTTACAACTATTCATAACATCCCTAGTTATAATAAAATGTTAAAAACTTATATTTTTGTACAAATGTATCCCTTGCCACAAATATTTTGATTTCTGTCTCATCTAGTTCTCAAAAAAACTGCATAAAATTAGTTTCATCTCACTTTGTACAAGAATACTGAGATTTAGAGACATTGAGGCACTTAACCTAAAATTACCTAAAAATGAGCTGGGCGAAGTGGTGCACACCTTTGATCCCAGCACTGGGGAGGTAGAGGCAGGCAGATCTCTGAGTTCAAGGCCAGCCTAGTCTACATATTGAGTTCCAGACCAGTTGTGCCTACACAGAGACCCTCTCAAAAAGACCAAAAGGAAAAAAAAGTTACCTAAAAATGACAAAATCAAGTCTAAGACTTCCTCCCCTTTCATTAATAGTAATTATGTAGTAGCTTTTATTTTCTTTATTTGATTTTCCAGTAAATCTGAATGTGAAACCATCAGACTGTGATAATTGAGGAATTAAATTTATCATATACTGTGAGGTGAAACATATTTTTCTCTTAGGCTTTTTTTATTTTTATTTTGAGACAGGGTCTCCCCAGCTGGCCTAGAACTTGCTATGTTGACCAAGACTGGAAATAACCTCTACCTCCTGAGTGCTGGAACTAAAGGTGTACACCACCAAGTCTAGCTTAAAGTCTATCTTTTTAAAATTTATTTACTTTTATGTGTATGAGTGTTATGCCTATATGTTTATAAGTGCACTGTATCATGCAATGCCCTTGAGAACAGAAGAGGACGCTGAATCCTGGAACTGGAGTTAAGGACAGTTGTTAGCTTCCATGTGGGTACTGGACATTAAACCTTGGTCTTCTGGAAGAACAGCCAGTGCTCTTAACACCTAAGCCATCTCTCCAACCCTTTAAAGTCTATATTTTGATTTTAAAATCCCTATCATGATTTTTGGATTGACTGAGTGAAAACTTCAATCATTGGTTGACTGATAAGTTAAACTTACTTCAAAATAGTTTGGTTTAAAAATAAAAACAAGGGGCAGTTAAGAGCACCGGATGCTCTTGCAGATGGCCCAGAGTTCAATTCCTAGCACCCTCATAGTGCTAACAGCCATCCCTAAGTCCAGTTCCAGGGGATCCAATGCCCTCTTCTGACCTCTGCAGGCAATTGCATGACATGGGTGTGCCTACCTACATACAGGCAATACACTGATACACATAAAATAAAAATAATAAATAAAATATTTTTTAAATAATAAAATATTTTTTAAAAATAAAAACAAAAATTAATTTAAAATAAAGATACTGAATAGTTTATAGAAAGCACACTGTCATGGAAGATAGACAGTACAGAAACATCAACAACAACAAAATACACAGAGGTATAGAATTCAGATTTGCAGTCAGGTATGGTGCCTCATACCTGTAATCTCCAAAGTTTGAGAGGCTAAGGCAGCAGGAGGATTTTAAGTTTAAGGACAGTCTGGCCTACAATGTGAGTTTGAGACCAACCTGGGATATGTAGTGAGACTCTCGAAAAAAAGAAAAGTGTAAAAGAAGCTAGACTTACTAAAATACTAAACAGTTTCATCAAAATAAAAATTAGGAGATTGTTATAAGATAGGAAAATGTGACCCATGTATGGAGATTAAAAAGCATTAATAGAAATTTACCTCGGGCCAGATTTGGTACCTCATGCCTGTAATCTCAGCACTTGGGATATTGAGGCAGGGGGATTGCCACAAGTTCAGGGCCAGCCTGGGCTACATATTGTCTCTCCAAAGCCAAACAAATAACCAAAAACCTGGGCCAAGTGGTGCAGGTATGCAATCCCTGCACACAGTAGGCTGAAGCAGGAGAGTCACATTTTGAAGACAGCCTGATCCTGTAGCAAGACTATCTCAATGAGAGAGAAATCTTAGAAGTGACTTAGTTCACAAAGACTTCACTGCAGCTACATTTACAGCACTAACCAAGAACAGATTTTGAAGAAAGAATTGCCAGAAACTTAAAAGATTTGATCAGGACATCAATCTAGGGGATAGAGAGATGGCTCGGTGGTTAAGAGTGCTGGCTGCTCTTGCAGAGGACTTGGTTTCAATTCCCAGCACCCACATGGTGACTAACAACCATCCATAGCTCCAGTTCTATGGGAACTCAACACCTTCTTCTGACCTCTTTGGGCATTGCATGACATGGGTGCACTTATATACATGCAGGCATTGCACTCACAGACAAAAAAATACTTGTTTAAAATGATGTCTTTTGCCAGGCGTGGTGGTACACGCCTATAGTCCCAGCACTTGGGAGGCAGAGGCAGGTGGATCTCTGTGATTTCAAGGCCAGCCTGGTCTACAGAGTGAGTTCCAGGACAGCTGGGGCTACAGGGAGACCCTGTCTCAAAAAGACAAAAACAAACAAACAAACAAACAAACAAACAAACAAAACTATCAGGTGTAGTGGCTTATGCCTTTAATCCCAGCACTCAGGAGACATAGGCAGGTGGATCTCTGTGAGTTCAAGACCAACCAACTCTACATAGTGAGTTTCAGGCCAGCCAGGGCCACATAGTGAGACTCTTTCTCAAAACAAAACAAAAAAAAAGCATATAATTCAGAAATAAGAGGGATGATATTTTTATTGAAGAGCTGAAAAACAACTAAGAATTCTGTATCCAGCAGCCTCTTCCTTAAAAATGATTTGGACAGGGGCAGGGAGGAGAGAGGGAAAGAGGGAAGGTAAGAAGAGAAAAGGAACAGTTTAAAATTTGCAATTGATTCTTAGATATGACTTCAAAAGCATGAGCTTGCCTTCCATCAAAATTAAAATCTTGTGTATATGAAAAGGCACCCTACAAAATGAAAGACAGTAAATCATGTATCTGATAAGAAACTAATAATCGGGGCTGGAGAGATGGCTCAGCGGTTAAGAGCACTGACTGCTCTTGCAGAGGACCCGGGTTCGATTCCCAGCACCCACATGGTGGCTTAGCTAACCATCCTTAACTCCAGTTCCAGTGGAATCCGAAGCCCACTTCTGACCTCCACAGCGTTGCACGACACGGGTGCACTCACATACGTGCAGGCAATACACTCATACACATAAAATAAAAATAAAATAATCAGAACAAATAAAGAACTGCTGCAATTCAACAACTCAAAGAGAACCCAGTTAAGAAATAGAGAACTGGTGCCAGGCATAGTGATATACACCTTTCATTTTAGCCCTCAGGAGGCAGCAGCTAGCCTGGTATACATAGCAGATTGTTTTGGGCTAACCAGGGCTACACACAGTGAGACCCTATCCCAAAGAGAAAGATTGGTGAGAGAGAACTGCAACTTTCTTAGCCGTCAGTGGAGACAGTTGGTAAAGCCATTATGAGGAGTACTGTATGAGGCAAATGACTTCTCTAGGTCAACCTGACCTCTTGACCCATCACCTCACATGATTTTTGAAGTAACACAGACATTTAAATCAAAAGATCTGAAATGGTCTAAACGATGCTAGTGTTGAAATAGTATAACTTTGTAGATTACTAGATAGCTGCAGCAAAGAGGAGATAGTTCAGATCTTTCAAGGTCTTTTGAGATCGTCTGAGGATGTACAAGTAAAATCAAAGAATTTTTAGGGTCCTCCAAGATTTCTGGGACAGGTGACCCCCAAGACCATATAATATAACAAACCATTAGGAGGGAAAGGGGATTATTATCAAATTGGCAATGGAAACAAAGTTTGTTTGGTTTTTTTGTTTGTTAGTTTTTTTATCTTTTTGAGACAGGGTCTCCCTGTAGCCCCAGCTGTCCTGGAACTCACTCTGTAGACCAGGCTAGCCTTGAACTCACAGAGATTCACTTGCCTCTGCCTCCTGAGTGCTGGGATTAAAGGCATGCAGCACCACACCTGGCATGTTTTTAATATTTTTATTTTATGTGCATGAGTGTTTTGCCTACATATATGTTAAGTACACCATGTGCATGCATTGCCAACAGAGGCCAGAAGAGGATGTTGGATCCCTGAGAACTGGAGTTACGGACAGTTGTTAGCCACCATGTGGGTGCTAGATTTTATAGAGGAATATAATCAAACCCAGGTCCTCTGGAAGAACAGCAAGTTTTCTTAATTGCTGAGCCATCTCTCCAGCCTGGGAAACAAGGTTTGGATGACTATGATGGATATAATAATTATGGCTGTAGAAATGAGAGATTTGATAACACGTTAAGAAATGAGGTCTGGGGGCTGGAGGGATGGCTCAGCAGTTAAGAGCACTGAGTGCTCTTGCAGAGGACCCGGGTTCTATTCCCAGCACCCACATGGCGGCTACAAACCGTCCTTAACTCCAGTTCCAGGGGAATCTGAAGCCCTCTTCTGACCTCCATGACATTGCACGACATGAGTACACTCACTTACATGCAGGCAATACACTCACATACATAAAAATAATAAAATAAAATTTTCAAAAAGAAAAGAGATGAAGTCTGGGGAGCTGGGCATGGTGGTGCACGCCTTTAATCCCAGCACTTGGAAGGCAGAGGCAGGTCGATCTCAGAGTTCAAGGCCAGCTGGGGTTACAAAGGAGACCCTGTCTCAAAAAGACCAAAAACAAAAATAAATAAATTAAATAAATAAATAAATAAATAAATAAATAGGGTCTGTGGAGACATGGTTATAGTGGAACTGATGACATAAATTCAAGTTTTCATTGTGGTGATTTTGCATAAATGAGAGGCTTCTCATTTCATGGAACTAAATCCAGTACAAGTTTATAAATCTTTTAAATACAGTACAAGTTTAGATTAATATTGAAGCAAATAAAGATTTGTGACGCACCTTTATTCTCAGCACTCAGAAGGCGGAGGCAGTTGGATCTCTGTGAGATTGAGGCCAACCTTGTCTTCATAGTGACTCCAGGCCAGCTGTGGCTACAGAGAGACCCTGTCTCAAAAAGGCAAAAAAAAAAGATTGCTGACACATGAAGATGCAATATCTATTCTGTCAAAGATGAAAATAACAAACAGTATGGGTAGATACACATTGAACTCTTGAATTCTACTCTGGAAGGCAACTTTGGATGGGAGGCTATGATAGAGAATAGATAATTAAGGAAAATACAGATATGTTGGAGAAATGGGAATGGGGAGCAATTATAATAGGGATATGATATTCCTGATGGCTTTATCATTTGGCAGAGCAATAGATTATAATAGGAAAATTTGTTTTCTATAGACTTAATTTGTTTATACTTTGACTTAAAAATACATTTTTTTAAAAAAAATTTATTATTTTATGTGTATTTGTGTATTGCCTGCATGTAGGTAAAAAGTGCACTCGTGTCGTGCAGTGCCCACGGACAGTTGTTAGCTGCCATGTGGGTGCTGGGAATCAAACCCGAGTCCTCTGCAAGAACAGTTAGTGTTCTTAACTCCTGAGCCATCTCTCCAGCCCCTAAAAATGCATTTTTAATATAAGACCACTGTCATTAATACTTTTGTGTATAGTTACTTCTAAAAATGTGCTGTTGAAGATTTGGGTTGATGTTTTTAATTATATTATATATATATATAATGACGGGCATGGTAGTGCACACCTTTAATCCCAGCACTTGGGAGGCAGAGGCAGGTGGATCCCTGTGAGTTTGAGGCCAGCCTGGTCTGCATATCAAGTTCCAGGCCAGATGGGGCTACCAGGAGACCCTGTCTCAAAAAAAAAGTTCCCCCCAAAAAGTATATAGTATGTTAGATGGTAATAGTTCATTTCTGTATGAACGTGAAGTATGAATAAACAGATATATGAAATAGAGCTTGAATTAGTATAACTTTTTATTTAAATTTCTTGTGAACAGCACTGAATATAGAGCCGAAAGGTTAGTTTGGGTGGCTTTAAAAATAAATTCAGCTAATTTTGTGTCATTCTTTTTCAAGTGTCATTTATCAGGCATAGCTCTAAAATTATGACCTAAGAAATATCTGGATTTCTAAATATGCCTAATTGTGACCTAGTTATAAGCATTTTAGAGGTTTAAACTCTAGCCCTATGGACCAGCGAGATGGCTCAATGGGCCTAATTGTGACCTAGTTATAAGCGTTTTAGAGGTTTAAACTCTAGCCCTATGGACCAGCGAGATGGCTCAATGGGTAAAATTACTTGCTATGAAAGCCTAGTGACCTGAGTTCCATCTCTGGAAACCACATAAAGGTGGAAGGAGAAAAATAACTCCACAGAGTTGTCCTCTGATCTTCACACAGGTGCCATGATGTGCATGCCTATGCACACACATCATACACACAATAATAATAGTTTTTAAATTGTAGCCCTTCTAGAGAGATGACTCAACAGTTAAGAGCACTAGCTTGTTCTTGCAAAAGACCCTGATTCAGTTCCCAGCACCCACATGGTGGCTAAAAACTGTTCATAACTCCAGTTTCAGGGGATCACACTCTCTTCTGGCCTCTGTAGGCATTGCACACACAGATGCACTTACATGCACACAAAACATTTATATGCATAAAACAAATTTTAAAAATTCAATTCAATTCTAGTCCAAAATAATAGAAAATTTCAATTTGGACTAAAATACCAAAAGTGCTTTCAGAAAATGAAAGTTATGCCAAGTGTAGTGTGGCACAGGTTTGTAATTCCACTCAGGAGGCTAAGATACAAGGTACAAGGACTGCAAATTCAAGGCTACCCTGGGCTACATGGTAAAGTTAAGGCCATCCTAATCCACGTAGTGAGACCCAAGTGTCAAAAGAAAAGGAGAAAAAGTAAGAGCTGTAAATTAATCTCAAAATGTCTTAGGTAGCCTAAGATCCTCAGTGCACATTTTAAAAGATACAGGATAGTCCGTGTCATAGATAATGACAAGAATCCTGCAGTTGGTAGCAGTTTGGAGTTTTACTTAAAACACTGTAAATAGGTAGCTGGGTGTGGTGGTACATGCCTTTAATCCCAACACTCAGGAGGCAGAGGCAGGCGGGTCTTCATAGCAAATCTAGGCCAGCTGGGGTTACAGGGAGACCGTGTCTCAAAAAGACAAAACAAACAAACAAACAAAAACTGTAAATAGCAAGTACATGACTTTGAGCATAAGTTTTTATTTTCCACATTGATAGGTCATAGTGAAACTTACGTGTCTTTCGTTACGTGTCAGTGTGAGACTTTTTCCATTGTGTTAATGAACATGCTTCTCTATCAAAAGTGTTCAGATGGTCTTTAGGCACATGGAAAGATGAGCAATATAACTGGTTGTTGAGGGACTATATAAATCAAAGCCACAATGAAATTCCAGTTCTTTCCCATTAGGATGGTTATCGTTTTTTATCTTTTTATCTATTCTCAGGAACATATAAAGAGGTTTCATTATGGCATTTTGAGTTTTTTTAAGCTTTTTATTATACTTTTTTTTTTGCAGGGAGGGGAATGTGATGGGACATGTGTGGTGTTCTCTTTTCTTCTACCATGTGGGTCACCAGTTGGCTAGACTGCTGGCCAACAAGCTCCAGGAATCCACCTGTTTCCAACATTCCCCCACCCCCAGTGAGGTTACAGACAAGCACCACCTTGCCTGGCTTTTACATGGATCCAAAGTCAGGACCTCATGTTTGTGTATTAAGTACTTAACCAACTGAACCATCTTCCCATCCCCAAAATTGTATTTAAATGGTACTGTATAGTGGCCTGTGGCTATTGAAATGAACTTAACAGTGGAACAGTGTTTCACTACACTAATTGGAATGGTGGCAGCCTCCACTGAGTACATGGTTTTCTATTTGGGAATTTCTAATGAAAGAGAAAAAAGAAAAAAAATTCTATTGATAAGTGGTGGCCTTACTCTCAGTTTTACAAACTTTCATTTCACATACTGAATTTCTTTTGTATATGCAGAGGATGGTTAGAACGAGAAAGCAGGTATGGTCTGCAGCCAGGACACAATTGGTTTATCATCTCCATGCATTGGTGGCAACAGTGGAAAGAATATGTCAAATACGTGAGTTAAATTCCTGTTTTCTGCATTTTTTAGTAAGATTTTCAATTCTGTCAGACTTTGTGGGACCACTGGTACATGATAAAGCATGCCAACTTGGGCAAAGATGTAAAATGAAAGGAAATGAATATTTCTGATTTGATATGGAGCAGGCTGTGTGTATATATTTACATATTTCTTCCCTTGTACCAGCTCTGTGAGAAAGCTAGTATTGAGCATTGGAGTGCTTGCTTATGAGATGCACGGTGTATCACTTAATTTTCATATCCTTATAAGAAATGTGATATTATACTCATTTTACCTGTGAGGAACTTGGTGCTGGGAGAAAAATAAACATGAATATTTTGCTTAATATAGACCGGGGATCCAACTTAAGGACTGATTTTTAAAGCCTATGTTCTATCAACTACATCATTTACATTGTCCTTCACCTTTTTGATTAAAAAATTGGACACACGTTGGCCACTGCCCCCCGCTAGCCAATGCTGGCAGCATTTTAAAAAATTTTTCTAAATGAAAAACAAAAAAAATTTTTTTAATGAAAAAAAAAAAGTTGAAGACCATTGGTATAAGAAGTATTAATTTCTTTAAAAAAAATTTTTTGAGCCGGGCGTGGTGGCGCACACCTTTAATCCCAGCACTCGGGAGGCAGAGGCAGGAAGATCTATGTGAGTTCAAGGCCAGCCTGATCTACATAGGGAGTTCCAGGGCTGGGGCTACAGGGATACCCTGTCTCAAAAAAAGACATATAAAAAAAATATATTTTATGTGTATGAGTGTTACGCCTGTGTGTGTTTAAGTGCACCCATGTGGTACAATACCTGAGGAGGTCAGAAGAGGGTGTTGGATCCCCTGGAACTAGAGTTAAAGACAGTTGTAAGCTGGAATTCAAACCCAGGTATTCCGCATGAACAGCCAGTGCTCTTAACCATTGATCCAGCTCCAGAAGTCTTAATGTCTTACTCAAGAAATGTTATTTCAACTGGGCATGATGGCTCACTCTTATAATCCCAGCACTTGGGTGGTGAGTTTTTTTCTACTTTGGTTGAACCCAGGCCCTCACACATGCTAGACAAACACTTAACACTCAGCTACACTCCCAGCCCATTTGTTTTCGGATGTAACACATATTAACAACAAGCACGTACCTTGGTGTATCTGAAGGAATAAAAGTAGTTAGAGACTTCAGATACCTTAAAAGTAGATAATGTTGGATGTAATAGAAAATGGGACTATTCAGAAAAAGCATCAGTCTTTATTTTAAAACACTTTTTGTCTTTACATTCTTAGTTTGGCCTTAGGTGAATGGGTATTAATGCCTTGCTGAATGTAGATTCAAAGAAGAATGTAGCTTTGTCTTAGATGTGTTACTTTTTATTTTCTTTGGCGTGTGATAGAGGGCTTAGTACGTGGCCCTCATAAAGTGTACGGGCAAGAATATAAGCCTGCTTCTTTCATGCCTGCCATAATCCTTTTATGCGTTAAAGTAATTAGGGGAGTTCAGTAAGGGAGCAATATACAAGGGGGAGTTTACATATTCCTCTTCCCAACCTGGCATTCTATATTGTAATATTGTCTACTATGTGTCTGTGAAACATCCTTTAAATTTTACTTTAAAAATGAAGACTAAAGCCAGACTTGGTGGTCCATGCCTAAAATCCTCACACTTTAGGAGATCGAGGCAAAAGGAAGGTCATCCTTGATTACCTTAGAAAATCTGGGCTATATGACTTTGTCAAGAAAAAAAAAAACAAAAAACTGGAAGAAATAGAACAGACCAGGCATAATGGTGCTTGCAATCTCAGCCCTTGGAAGGTAAAAGAAGGAAGACTGTCCAAAGCCATCCCGGGCTATATAGTGAGACAGCGTCTCAAAAATCCCACCCTGGGGAGTTAGAGTGATAGCCTAGCAGTTAGAGCACTGACTACTCTTCCAGAGGACCTAGGTTTGGTTCCCAGCACCCACGTGGCAGCTAACAACTGCCTGTAACTCCAGTTCCAGGGGATCCAGTGCCCTCGTCTGGCCTCTGAGGGCACTGCATGCACGTAGTACACTTACATACATGCAGGCAAAAAAAAATTAAAATTGGGACGGGAGAGATGGCTCAGCAGTTAGAGCACTGGCTGCTCTTGCGAGGACTCAGGTTCAATTCCCAGCACCCACACGGTGGCTAACAACCATCCATAACTCTAGTTCCAGTAAATCTGATACCCTCTTCTGACTTCCTCCAGCATTGCACTCATACACATAAAATTAAAAAAAAAAAAAATTATATATAGTCTTCTTGAAACAGGGTCTTCTATATCCCCAGCCAGCCTGGAACTCATTATGTAGACCAGACTGGCTTTGAACTCACAGAGATCTCCCTGCCTCTGCCTCCAGAGTGCTGGGATTTAAAGGCATGCACCACCATGCCTAGCTTTGATGAAATCTTTTTAATCATTGTAATAAACAGTATGTGCATGTTTCTGTTTTGAGAACTGTACAGTACAGAAGCAGTTCTCTTTATTCATGTACATATTTTGCTGTTTTGTTATCATGTAACTTTAGAGTATACTTAAAACACTAAGTTTATAAATGAAGGTCCTTTAAATTTTGTAATTGCCAAAAGCTGTTTTAGTCAGTTACCTTATTACCTCACTACTGGAACTTACTTGAGTTCTTTTTCAAATGTCGATACTGCTTTCTATTTTTCCAAAACAAGTATTTCAGACTGCCAAAATATAAGATTGATATAACTGTTAGTTATTTTAAATCATTAATACTTCCAAAATACATAAAGTACCCCACACTGACCTTAGGAACTGATGACTCAGAAAGAGAGAAACTTCTCACTTTGAGTGAAACTCTAGAAATATGTCTTCTTTAGAATGTTGACTTCTAGGATAATTTAAAGAAAATTCTTTGATATTCAGAAGAAGAAAAATTTCCCAGATTAGCAAAACAACAGAACATATAGCCAGTGACTCTTAAGATTTTGCAATAGCCATGACTAGTTCATTCAACAGTTTCAAGTAATAAAGGACACTGAGTAACAGATTCCTATAGAAAAGAAAGCCAAAGACAGTGACAAGACAGAACACTCTAGAACACTGGGAAGGAAGTACAGAAGCACCCATAATTGCTCACTGTGCCTTGTTAAAAGCATGTGGTAAAATATGTAGTCAGTGGAAGCCAAGAGTGCTGCCTCTGCAGAGCTATTACAATTGTTATGTTGCTAAACTGTCAGAAAATACCAAATAAATTCAATGTCTGGTAATATTTTTATCACCCTCTTTTCTTACCAGTGATATCTACAGATTTAACCTATCAACTGGGCTGTTCTGGATAAATAATATTATAGGAGTGGTTTTGTGTAAATTTTCTTTAGAAATACAAGTACCTTGTTTTCTTTTCACATAGCAATCAACAGTAGTTTCTGCTTTTGAGACTTTATAATCTAATTTTTCTCTGACCAAGAGTAAAATTTTGCTTTTTAGAAACTTTTCTAAAAACAGATTCAGGGTCTCTCTGACCCACAGGCCTCTCTCCAAGACCAACCCAGCTCCTCAGTGCAGTCCCCAGGAGTCCTTGGGGCTGCTTCCCGCCCCCATCTGCCTTTGCATCTCTGGGTGGCAGGGCCACCAGCTGCCCTAGACCAGCATCTTTCCTGGGCCTGGCTCCCAGGCCAGTCCAACCCACAAATTCCTGAGGCCAAAATCTTTCCTGGAGGGATCCAGACCTTAGGAGAAACCCTGAGAGCATCTGATCCTCATCTGACTTGGGCCTCTGTGGGAACTCCTGAAGACAAAAGCAATCTGGCCACTCCATTATAAAATCTAAGAGAGAAGCTTAGACAAACCAGCTTTTCATGCCCAAAAAGTAAACCACAAAGAGTAAACTACAAAGACACATAAAGTTTACAAAAACAAGTAGACCTAAACTCGAAGGCTTGAGTCTCACACAAGAATCAGAAACTACAAAAGAAATTCACATGTCAAAATCACAAAGAAAAAATAATACCATGAAAAACCAAAATAACATATCCCCACCAAATACCAATAGTCCTCTAGAGGAGTAGAAGGAGAACCCCCTAGAGATAATGCAGGACGTGGAACGCAAAAGAACAATTATAAACATGATAAAAGAATCCAGTGAATTTAAAGAACACACAAACAAAGAAGCCAAAGAACTGAAGGAAGATAGGGATAAACTTCTGAAATGAAGAAGGAAGTGAAACACTAGGTAAGCCAATTAGAAACAACAGGAGAAAGTCACCAATAGGATGAATGAAATGGAAAACAGAGTATCAAGACTGGAAGAT